GACCATTTGTCGGATAAGACTCTGCTGCACTGGCGAAAGCTTCATCGTTACAAATTATTTTTTTTTTATTACTGAAATTATTCATAAATTAAGAAATTCGGGGATTTCCGAATAGCATTTCCCGCGCAATAATTCAGGTTGGATTAGAAACTGTAATGGCGTAAAACGCCACTCCTCACAGTACATGCTTTTTCTTCACTATATAGACCGTGGAAACTGATTTCAGGGATTTTAGGGTACACACATACAAACACGAAAACACACACACACACAATATAAACACGAAAATACACACACATGCAAACATACACACACATAAACACACACATAAAAAACACACACGCACATACAAACGCACACAAATACAAACACACATACACATACAAACACACACATAAGCAAAAATCACATATAAGCACACACACACACACACACACACACACACACACACACACACACAAACAAACACACACACATACGTACAAGCACAAAAACACACATACATGGGTACCTCAGAAATTACTGTGGCTAGAAAAATGCCTTACCAAGAAACCCTCAACATTCTCAGAATCAGTAACAAAATATGAGTTTGGTGTGTAACTCATAAAACGAAGTTATTCCCCTTCCAGCCATGAGATCATTATTTTTTATTACATTACATATTCACAAAACAGTTGACACACATTCAAAAAAACAAGTGCTCATGACTGGTGGACAGCTGGGCTTAATAATCCTTTCAAGAGACAAAACGAATGCCAGGATCGCCAGCGAGTTGACCAGCAATAGGTGATCCAATGGAAAAGTTGCCAGCTGCATAGTTAAAGAATAATGCTATGAATTTGCTTCTAATTAAAATATCAAAGCACGCATACAAAAATACTGATAAAACATTGATTACATTAGAAATCTACTATACAATGTAGAAATGGTGCTACTATAGCATACAGGGGATCAATTATTTCAGAAAAACGAAGAAAAAAAAGTATTTCATTTCAGAAGAACGAAGAAACGAAAAAAAGCAATGAAACGAATGTCAGGATCGCCAGCAGGCTAACCACAGCACTGGTCAAAGCAAGTGGGAAAGCTGCCAGCTGTAT